CCCCATCGTGGAGGGTGTAGGACACCCCCGTCGTGGAGGGTGTGGGTCCCCATCGTGGAGGGTGTAGGACCCCCCGTCGTGGAGGGTGTGGGGTCCCCCGTCGGGGAGGGTGTCTGGACCCCCGTCGTGGAGGGTGTGGGGTCCCCGTCGTGGAGGGTGTGGGACCCCCGTCGTGGAGGGTGTGGGGTCCCCGTCGTGGAGGGTGTGGGACTCCCGTCGTGGAGGGTGTGGGACCTCCGTCGTGGAGGGTGTGGGGTCCCCATCGTGGAGGGTGTAGGACCCCCCGTCGTGGAGGGTGTGGGGTCCCCCGTCGGGGAGGGTGTGGGGACCCCCGTCGGGGAGGGGTTAGAGTTAGGGGTTAGGGTCCCGCGGCGCCCCTCCGCCAGCCTGGGTGGTGCGCTCGGGCGCCCCCCTGTGGCATGGATGGGCTGCAGGCTGGGTGGGGTTTTCCGGGAATAGAGGCCGCGGGGAGGGGGCCGCCCACAGCTGGATCCCATCAAGCCAGATGGACCGCAGGGACTGGGACATTCCTGTGGTCAGGCAGTGGTGGGGCGGCGGTACCAGGTTCCCCGGGGCGGGGCCAGTCTACTGTGTCCTTTGCCCTCAGCGTCCATCTGGATTTACAGCCTCTTAGCTGCTGCCCTTCAGCCACACCCTGTTACAAACAGCCCCCTCCCCATCCTGCCCCAGGTCCTGCCCCAGGTGCGGCTTCCTTCTCGGTGACTCAGGCTACCCCCTCCCCAGCCTGAGTCACAGCTGCCTGCAGCCCCTCCCGGTGCCCGGCTGCCCCGAGCCCCATCCCCCCATTGCCCCATGATGGGCGGTTGTTGTGAGTCATCACTCAGCTATGTGCCAGTCTGCCCCAGCCCCCCCACTCGGAGTGGCTCTGGGGGTCTGGCTGGGGCTGGTGGGCAGCTCTGGCTAGGACCCTGAGGCTCTGGGGGGTGTAAGGCTTATCACTGAGATGGGGGGCTGGAAATGGTACTCCTGTCCCCCCCCCCCCTGCAGCCAGGGCCACACAGGTGGAGGCATCACAGCTTGGGGGACCCTGGCTAGCCCCCCTCCACAGGTGCCCTACCACCCCATGTGGTGTGTATGTGGATCATGGAGGCCAGAGCTGGCCAGGGATTACAGCCATGAGGGGCCCACCGCAGGGCCCACCGCAGACCAGAGGGGTGAGGAAACCCCAGTTTCCTGTTTCTGAAGAGCCAGGGTGTGGCTCAGGGGAGGGACCAGCCCTCCTTCCCGGCTGCCTTGGGGGAACACTCCCCTCTCTGGGGGGCGGGCAGGGCGGGGTGGGGCTCAGGGGGCGGGGGCAGTGAGTGAGGGACACCTCGGGGCCGGGAGCGGCCATACGGACCCTGTCCGCTGAGCCTAGCAGGCGCCCCCTGAAGCCCCGTCGGTCCGTGGGCCCCCGGCGCCCATAGAGCTCCTAGGCCGCCATGTCCCAGCACCGGCTCCGCGTGCCCGAGCCCCAGGGCCTGGGCTCCCAGAGAACCAGTTCTGAGGACAATCTCTACCTGGCTGTGCTCAGGGCCTCCGAGGGCAAGAAAGGTAGTGGCACCTCCGGGCGGGGCGGCGCCGAATGGCCTCTTCTTGTGGGAGGAAGCTGGGTCCAGCCGCAGTCGAGCGTGGGCACAGCTGTAGATGCAGTGGGACTGACCGGCCGGGACATCCCGGCCCACAGTTCAGAGCCTGGGGCATACTGGAGTCCCTGCGCTTTGTTGGATGAACCCCTGACCCCTCCCCGTGCCTGGCCGGCCAGTCTGCGCTCCTGCTCAGCTCTCAGCTTGTGTGTAGGAGGCAGACTGACCCTGCTCCAGGGTCTGGATTTGGCGGCCAGCCTGGGGCCCGCCCGGCTCACACCCAGCTCTGGAGGGAGCAGGCTGAGCACCTGGGACCTGTGCCTGCTAGGTGTGTGCCCCCAGGGCCAGTGCCAGGGCGCGGCTCTACAGTCTCTGGCCCCTGGCAGGAGCCTTTCCTGCTCCAGGTTGACCTTCTGCTGTCTCCCCCAGATGAGCGAGACCGTGTGCAGAAGAAAACCTTCACCAAGTGGGTCAACAAGCACCTTATCAAGGTTGGTGTGCCTGGAGGTCTGTGTAGAAGAGTGTGATGTGTGTGGACGTGTGTGCATGGACATGCTTGTGTGTGGATAGGCCTGTGCACGGACGCCTGTCTGGAACGTCTGCTCCTGGATGTGTGTGTGCCTGTCCACCGTGGAGATCTTGATGGGGTGAGGAGGGCTGTCTCCAGCTCTGCAGGCTCTGCTCTGTGCTGGCCCCTCAGGCCTTCGTCCTTGGCTCTCATTTCTGAAACCTGTGATTTTCTGTCCTCTCTCTCCCATGCTCCCTCCTGCCTCTCTTCCCTCTGCTTGGCCCCTCCTGGCGGCTCCTGTAGCACTGGAGGGCAGAGGTAGGTGCCTCGTGGGCAGGTGGGCATCCTCTTTGGGCCTTTCTTTTCCCCTTGGGAACTGAGTCTCTCTGGGTATCAGTGACCATCAGCTCCCCTGTCCCCACAGGCCCAGAGGCACATCAGTGACCTGTATGAAGACCTTCGGGATGGCCACAACCTCATCTCCTTGCTGGAGGTCCTCTCAGGGGACAGCCTGGTATGTGTCTGCTGCCTGTCCTCTCTGGCCTGGAAACCTGGTCTGCCAGCCCTCCTGTGGCCTTTCACCTGCCCCTCCTGTCCAGCTCTGCCTTCTGTCTTCTGGGCCTTTCTGGCTCTCTGCCTGTCTGGCTCAGCCCATCAGTTTTCTCCTAGGCCTCCTACCTGCCCCTCCTGTCCAGCTCTACCCTTTCTCTTCTCTTGGGACCACCTAGCCTCGCCCCCCCACTGCACCTCTCTGTCCAGGGTGTTGGGAACTGCATTGGAGTGCCCACTCGGGAAAGGCCACAAGCCAGGCAGTGACTCCTGTGGCCCACCCAGCCCACCCTCCGCATTGGCCCTACATAGTAACCTCACCCTCTGCTCTGCTTTGGTTTCTTTGCTGCTTGGACTGTGAACCTTGATCTCTGCCCTTTACCCTTTGCCCTGCTCTGGCCGGGCAGCCAAGAGAGCGGGACATAATCAGGAGTGCGCGCCTGGTGAGTGGTTGGGCCTGATGGCCACGTGGCACGCGACTCCCCACACAGCTGGAGCCTGGGTCACCTGCCTGACCAGGGTCCTCTGGCCCAGTGCAGATGGCTGTGCGTCCATGCCCTTGGTAACCTGTCTGCTGCCCTGTCTGAGCTGGTCCTGGGCCGGGGGGTGGCGGGGCCCTGGGCCTCTCAGCTTTCCACCCTGGACTTCCTGGCTATTGTCGCCTTCCCACCCCCTTCCTTCCTCCAGGGCCTGGACTGTCCAGCCCTGCTGAGCCTGGCCCCTGGCAGCTGGTTCCCATCTGAGGGGTGCACCGGGGTGTGGGTTCTGTTCTCTGAATCCCTGGGGTAGTTGCCACTATTGTCTAAGGGGCCTGGGATGGGGGTCTGTGCTGCAGAGCACGGGTGCTGATGGCCAGTGTCCCCTTGCAGCCCCGTGAGAAGGGCCGGATGCGTTTCCACAAGCTGCAGAATGTGCAGATTGCCCTGGACTACCTGCGCCACCGCCAGGTGAGGCCCACCCTCACCCCGCCAGGGCCCTGCACCTACTCAGTCTGGGGCTGGCACTGAGGCAGTTTGCTTACTTCACCAGGTGAAGCTGGTGAACATCAGGAATGATGACATTGCTGACGGCAACCCCAAACTGACACTAGGCCTTATCTGGACTATTATTCTGCACTTCCAGGTACAGTGCCTGCTTGCTGCCCCTTGCCTGCAGCCTCTGGGGTGTCCAGCCCAGCAGTCTGGACCCCTCCTGTCCACGCTGGCTCCCCAGGCCTTCCTCTATGTGCCCTCTGGCTCTATCTGGGCAGCAGGGCAGGCAGCCTCCCTGAGGAGGAAGGCACGTGTTGCTCGAGGGTCTTGTTCTGGGGAAGCCTGGCCTGGCCGGCTGACTCACCCAAGGGCTGCCACAGCACAGGAAGCCGCAAATCTCAGAGCGAGGTGGGCTGAGCCTGGCTGGCACGGCAGCTGAGTCACATGCTGGCAGGCCGACAGATAGACAGGCAGGCAGGCAGACCCAGGTCCAGGAAATGGAGAAACTACAGGCCCAGCCCCCAGCCCCCAGCCCCAGAGGACCCTGGAAATGCAACCCTCCTTTCCCAGGACTGAGGGCTGTCTATATAGTCCCTCCTCCACCTTCCCCTTCCCCTGTTCTATGCCAGCCTCAGAGAATGTAGGTGGGCCAAGCCCCCTCCCTTGCTGAGGTCCCCCAGGTAGGTGGCAGCCGTGTCGGTGGGGCCCTGACTGACCATTGGCATCTGCTGGCTCTGTGGCCTGAGCTGGGCACTGAGGTGGGCGTCGTCAATGCAGTGCTGGCCTCCTGGACACCCTGACCGTACTCAGCTGCTTTGTCCCTGCACGCCCAGGCTCAGGGTAGCACGGGCCTGGCCACATGACGGAGACTAAGCGCTGCCTGTGGTCTTCTGCAGATCTCGGACATCCAGGTGAGCGGGCAGTCAGAGGACATGACCGCCAAGGAGAAGCTGCTGCTGTGGTCGCAGCGCATGGTGGAGGGCTACCAGGGCCTGCGCTGTGACAACTTCACCACCAGCTGGCGAGATGGACGCCTCTTCAACGCCATCATCCACCGGCACAAGTGCGGGAGGCCACTGGGCGGCGGTGGGAGGGCCTGGTGGTGGCATGGAGGAGGCCTGTGGCCTCAGGCACACAGCCGGGCAAGCACACGGCCGGGCAGCTGCAGACACGCTGAGGCAGGAGAGGTGTCTGCACTGGCAGGGGCCACAGCTCAAGGCAGTGAGTGCTGGCTCCAGAGGAGGGTGCAGGCGCAGCCCCACCCCACCTTCTTTCTCTGTTTTCTTCTGGATCCTTCCAGGAGAGACAGTGTGTCTTAGGGGTGACTTTGATGCATCCCCATTGTTGGGACCCACTAGGAGGGCAGCCCGCACGCTGTCCCTGGGGGCTGCTGCGGCTCCTAGTCCCAGGGCGTCCGAGTAGGGGTGCTGGGCGAGCGGGCAGGCTGGTTTGTGGGCGTGTCCTGGTCTTTGTGACCAGGTTGCTGTCCCTGCATCCATCTCTGGCCAGGCCCATGCTCGTGGATATGAACAAGGTGTACCGTCAGACCAGCCTGGAGAACCTGGATCAGGCCTTCTCCATAGCAGAACGGGACTTGGGGGTGACTCGGTTGCTGGACCCCGAAGGTATGCCCATTGGCTCGCCCCCACAGTTCTCTCCATCCTGACTTCTGGCACCCTCAGTCCCTGCCCCACCTGACCAAGGCACCCACTGAGCCTGTCTCCTGTCCACCCAGGGGGTTCCCAGTCCTGGGCCTGCCCATTCAGAGTGCTCTCTGAGTCTGTCCCTTACTCCTACAGATGTGGACGTCCCCCATCCTGATGAAAAGTCTATCATCACATACGTCTCATCCCTGTATGATGCCATGCCCCGAGTGCCCGACGTGCAGGATGGGGTGAAGGCCAACGTAAGTGGCCACTGGGATCGCTTGGCGAGGGCAGTAGACTTGGGAAATGGTTCCTGTGCTGACCACAGGGTGGGGGCAGCCAGCTTGCGAAGTGGGTCCCCGCACTGAACACTGGGCGGGGGCATCAGGCTAGGAAGGCAGGCCTTGCACAGTCGACCGGTGGGGTCTGAGGGCCAGGGTCCCCGGGCTGACTGCCGCCTGTGCGCAGGAGCTGCAGCTGCGTTGGCAGGAGTACCGGGAGCTGGTAGTGGTGCTGTTGCAGTGGATCCGACACCACACGATTGCCTTCGAGGAGCGCAAGTTTCCCACCAGCTACGAGGAGATCGAGGTGCTGTCTGCTGCCGTGGGGCTGGGGCCGGGCCGGCGCTGGGCTGGACGCTGACCCTTTTGTTCCCTCAGATCCTGTGGTGCCAGTTTCTCAAATTCAAGGAGACGGAGCTACCGGCCAAGGAGGCTGACAAGAACCGATCCAAAAGCATTTATCAGTCCCTGGAGGTGAGGGAGCCCGGTCGGCGGGAGTGTGGGCTTGGAGGGTGGGCGGAGGTCCAACCTGAATTTGGCCTCTGCCCACAGGGCGCGGTGCAGGCAGGCCAGCTCAAGATGCCACCAGGCTACCACCCGCTGGATGTGGAGAAGGAGTGGGGCAAGTTGCACGTGGCCATCCTGGAACGGGAGAAGCAGCTGCGCAGCGAGTTTGAGAGGTGGGTGGGGTGGCCGGTGGGGGGCGGGGTGTAGCCGGTGGGAGGGAGGGGTGGCCGGTGGGGGCGGGGCTGTGATGGCAGGAGCGCTGTGAGGATGAGTCATGTTGGGAGGAAACCCCCGCAGGCTGGGCAGCCTGGTGGCAGTGGGGCCTCAGGCAGGCAGCGGGCAGCAGCAGGGAGAGGCCTGGCTCAGCTGGCCCAGGGCCGCTCACTGGATGCCCGACCACAGGCTGGAGTGCTTACAGCGCATCGTCAGCAAACTGCAGATGGAGGCGGGGCTGTGTGAGGAGCAGCTGAACCAGGCCGACGCCCTGCTGCAGGCGGTGAGGGGGGCTCTGGGGAACTGAGAGGGAGGCAGGGCTGCAGGGGTGGGGCCTGCAAATGGTAAGGAGGCGAGGGGGAGCCCCGGATCTGCCACACCCGGCAGCTGTGAGTCAGAGGGGCAGGCCTGCAGGATTTGGCGGGGGCCACGCTGGGGCAGGGCCTGGGTTCCCGAGCCCCGCCCCCTGGTGTGCATCCCGCCCTGACCGCTGGCTTGGAGCTGAGCTGTCTTGGACAATATAAGATGCCCCTCCCAGGTTTGGCCCACGTTTTACGGGCTGTGGGAGGACTCAGACCACTGCTGGACCGAGTGGGGACTTGTTGAGGACTTGAATGGGATGGGGATGGTGGGCACTTAAGTCCACCACTGGGCCGCCAAGGAAGGGTGTGGCCCTGACAGTAGTAGCCTGCGTGGAGCATGCCCAAGAAAGATGGGGGCTCCTGGGAGGTTGGGTTCCAGTGCTGAGCCTGGTCAACGCCTTGCAGGACATCCGGCTGCTGGTGTCGGGCAAGCCGCCGCAGCGGGTAGGCGAGGTGGAGAGGGACCTGGACAAGGCGGATGGTATGATCCGGCTGCTGTTCAATGATGTGCAGACCCTCAAGGATGGGCGACACCCGCAGGGCGAGCAGATGTACCGCAGGTGGGCCCCTGCCCTGCAGTCCCCCGACAGCCCACAAGCCCCCTGCCAGGCCCTGCCCTTGACCAGCATGGCCATGCCCCGGCCTAGCAGTCCGGCCTCAGGCTCAGGTGGCCAGGCCCCACCAACTTTCCCTGCTTGTGTTGTCTCAGGGTGTACCGCCTGCACGAGCGTCTGGTGGCCATCCGCACGGAGTACAACCTCAGGCTGAAGGCCGGCGCCCCGCTGACCCAGACCATGCCCAGATCCCGGGACACGGAGCTTGAGAGCCCCCCCCTGCGCTACCTGCAGGATCTCCTGGCCTGGGTGGAAGAGAACCAGCGTCGAGTGGACAGTGCCGAGTGGGGTGTGGACCTGCCCAGTGTGGAGGCACAGCTGGGCAGTCACCGTGGCCTGCACCAGTCTGTGGAGGAGTTCCGTGCCAAAGTCGAACGAGCTCGTGCCGATGAGGTGAGCAGATGCCGGGGTGCAGAGGGCAGGGTGGCGACGAACCACACCAGCACGGGGCTCACCCGGTCATCTCCCGTAGGGGCAGCTCTCTGTAGCCTCCCGGGGCGCCTACAGTGACTGCTTGGGCCGGCTGGACCTGCAGTACGCCAAGCTGCTGGTGAGTGGTGGGCAGGGGCTGAGTGTGAAGTGGACAGGGGCCGAGTGTGGGGTGGACAGGGGCCGAGTGTGGGGTGGACAGGGGCCGAGTGTG